CTGGATGCTCCACAAAGTATCAAGCTCACCATTGTCACAGTCAAGCATGGTGGTGACAGCATCATGTTGTGGGGATTCCTTTCTTTGGCAAGTCCTGGGAAACAGATCACATGAATGGATCCAAATACAGGTCAGTTCTAGAGGAAAACCTGTTTCAGTCTGCAAGGAACTTGGGACTTGGATTTAGGTTTGCCTTCTGGAGGGACAATATGACCCTAAATATACAGCCAAAGTAACATTGGAATGTTTTAAAAATAAGTACTTGAATATTTTATGATGTGGTCAAAGCCTAGATCTCAATCTGACTGAAAATATGTGGCAAGACTTGAATGTTGCTGTTTACCAGTAGTCCCCATCCAATCTGACAAAGTTGGGAGGGGGTGTTTCCAAGAAGAATGGCCAAGCATTGCAGATCCAGATGTGCCAAGCTGATAGCAATTTACCCAAGAAGTCTCAGTGCTATAATTCATACCAAAGGTTTGCCATCTACCTAATATTGGCTCAGAAGGTAAACAAATGCCAGTTTCTGTTGACTTTTGAGCCACAACAGCTTTCTAGTTTTACGTATTTTTTGTATTCAAGTAGTAACGATGCCAATTAAATCTATTTCAATTCCAGATTGTACTACAACAAAATGTGGAAAAGTGAAAGGAATTGAATATTTCTGTAAGGCTCTGTATATAACCTAGACATCTAAGGTGTTATGTTGGGTGCCCATTAGGCACAACAGGAATAGAGCTAATTTTCAGTTAATAGAAAGGGATGCACATGTAGCATCTATGCTAACATATTTTCCAAGCTGTCATACTTGATAAAATATATTTACAATACAGAATTTCACTCTAGTGGAGGTGAATTAATATTTAATCATTGTTTATTTTTCCTCAATGAATTGCCTTAAAATATGTATTAATCAAATAAAAATTCATAAACTATGAAATAAATATACATTTTGGCAAAAATATCTACTTTTTCTGATGTATGAAATGGAAAGAACTCATCCCTTTAAAAGCAATAAATACCAGATTTTTAAATGTGTTTTTGAGTGTTAATTACTTCACTTATCTTTCAGTTCAATTGGCAAGACTTAAAATGAAAGAAGTAAAAATTAGTGATCTATACATCAAATATGGCCTCTTAATGATCTGCAGGCACATAACAGCCCTCAAGAAGAAGCATACAGTATATACACCTACCATGTATTTATAATACTTAGTACCTTCTATGAGTAAATCCCTGTTTTCCATTGATAAACCTATTAGTTAACTTTCTATTATTCTCTGTAGAAAGTCCTGAGTAACTGAAAACTTTGTGTATTTCTATTTTATATTTATTGTATGAAGACTAGTGGACAATTGGTTTCATATCTGTTGATGATACTACAAATGCATATTTTGGATGTGCAAATGAATCCATCTTTCAGAGGAAATTTGATGTTTATAAGATCAAACTGCTAGGACATGATAACAACTTCTAAATTTATTTGAGTAAATCCTCTGCTTTCAATTATTGTTCATTCATTGTGCACGCAGTTTGTGTTCAAAGAGCATATTACTTTAAGTGTAAAATGATAGCCATAGGAAACTGACAAGCTGCTTTGGAAATAAAACATTTATTGCAAATAATCCTGCCAATGGATACAAATGGTTAACTATACAGCTACAGGAAAAGGTGATATAGTGAAGTTGTGAACCATAGAGCTAGAATTCAAAGATCATCTATGATTATGCTAAATGAAATCATTATTAATACTGACCCCCACATCCGTACTGAAGATTCTAAACTGATGATTACCCATAAGATTGAGGGAAGTAATTGATACATTGCTTAATCAAGTCTTGCTTGGAAGTGAATAAAGACTCCAGGGTAGAAAGAAAATGCAGGCTTTAAGGAATACAACAAGTCAGTGGATTTTTTTTCCCCAAAAAGAAACAAAGATAGCAGTAATTAATGACCCTGACTCTGTGCCAAAAAGCTTTCTTCTGACAACTCTAACTTAATTAAAACTTAAGACGTTTCAGTGGCCTTAAAAAGCCCCTGATGGGGTGAACTCTTGCAAACTCGTGAGAAAATTTTGTAAATTAAAGGAAAAGATGTGTGCTACCACTGGTGCCATGACTCTAATCCCTGACAGTCAAAGAATCTATTTAGCCAAAGCCTTTTCTTTTAACTGGCTCACACCTGCAGGCTTCCTGGCATTTCCTCTGTACCAGAAAAGGCATTTTTTGTGTTTTATGGAAGATCAGATAATAGGAGCCCTGCTGTTTCTTTTGTTTTTGTGCATTGTTCATTAGCCTGTGAGTAGAGGCAAACTTGATATGCTTGGCTTACTTAGGGATAGAGCATTGGCAGAAAGCTTTAAGAGACGCAATATTAGTGAAGATGGAAAAAATAGTTCAAATGAAAACTCACAGTTGAAGGACAGGCAGAATAGTAGAGACCTGCTGTTCTTCACACATCCAGGTTAAGAGAAACAGTATGCTGCTTTGGACAGTAGTTTTTTGTTAAAGGGGGAATCTATTCAGATTATACTTTTTCCTTCTAATTAATGCGACATCTATTCAGTTTGAGTAAGCCTGTGCGTTTTTCAACAGGTATATGAACAGAAATGTCCTGTTTGCTTTGGCAATGGAACATCCTGTGGGATGATAGATTTAATTGTTGACTGAATACTACAAATAATATCAGTGGTATATAAAGTAATATAAATGGCCCAATAATGTATATAAAAA